CCTCTGGGGAGGGTCTCTCCAGCTGGGATGCACGTTCGTGCAAGCGCTAAGTGGGACGGATTCTGTCTTCCCAGGCCTTCCTCCTCGCTGCTTGGCAGCGGGATGCAGCGCGGGGCCGCGCAGCCTCCGGGTGCCGGGATCGGGCCGGAGCCCCCGGCGCTCGGTACGAGCCGTGCGGTTACGGGGTCGGCATTGCCAGGCACAGAGGGACTCGCTGCTGGGAAAGGGGACCAGGGCAGCGCGGCACCCACGGCTCCCGGCCTGGAGCTGCCCCAGGGAAGCGCTTGGCCTCGGGCTGGCGCCGGGGCCAGGAGTCCCTGTGGCCCCGGTGGAGGCGACGCGTTTGGCAGAGCTGGGAGGTGGCTCTGTCGCCGCAGCCAGAGGCAAGGTGGGAAGAGCCAGGGCAAGGAGGCAATGGGGGGTTCTCCAGCAGGGATGCGGGATCTGCTCCCACGGATCTCTCCTTTGCAGCCCGGAAGGGCCCTGAAAAGCCCTAGGTGCTTTGGTGCCCTGTCCTTGGGGTGGGAGGTGGGAAATGTCCCTGTCCTCACCCAAACCCACTGCTGCCTTTGGGCAAGAGAGTGGGGAGCTGCTCTTCTGTCTCCAGCAAAGGAAAAGCTGGTAGTTACCCAACTCCAGTGCTGGTCCCTGCACCCTGGCCACTTCTGGGGCTCTTAGTCCTCCACCATGGAGCTTTTCCCCAGGCTCCCAGCAAATTTCACCCATTTTCCTTCTCTCTCCCAGTACCCCAGGGGTTCTTAGTGCCTGGGAAGCTGCAAGGGCATTGCCCAAACAAGACAGCACGTGAGAACCTGGTGCAGCAAGGGGAGCACGAGGGGCTGGTGCTCCCTGCTCATCTGCCATGGCTCTCTTGCCATTTCCCTGGTCCCGGTAGCCCCCGGGCAGCAGCCTGTGCCGCGTGCCGGCCGCTCACCGCGGTGCCGCGGGCTCTGCTGGCTCCAGCCCCAGCGCTCCTTCCGCAGGGTAATATATAGCTCTGCTGCTGCTAATTGGAGCTCTCTCGCTGCGCTTCCTCCTCTCCATCTTCCTCCGCCCTTGGCTCCGCAGGGTCAATAAATGATCCGCACTAAAGCAGAGCCTGTGGGTTCCCGTGCGGCTCTGCCGGGGAGCCCGAGCAGGAGGAGGGGGCAGCGTCGGGAGGGCGAATCCCCCGCTGGGAGCAGGGCCAGGTCCCCAGCGGCCTCCCCTGCCCAGGCCTCCCCCTGTCCCTCTTGTGGGGTCCCGCGGGTCCCTGTGTCCCGGCTCCCCCTGCGCCTCGGCCCCCGCTCCCTCTCCGTCCCGCTCCGTCCGTGAGCAGACAGCACCATTGATTTTCCTGGATCAGCAAAACGCCGGCGTGAGGCGAGGCTGGGAGCAGAGCAGGAGATGGGGGGCAGGCGGCAGGGCCCGTCTATGAGCTGGGCAGGAATTGGGCAAGGAAAGCAGTCCTGGAGACCCTGAGGTGTCCGTTGGTGCTGCCTCCAGCTTCCCAGGACACCTGGGAACTTCTGGGAAAATCCCTCCTTCCCCACGGCCCCAGTGTCCTTGGTAACAAGTGACAGTGAATGGGGAAGTCAGAGGGGGCACCCTCTCCATGGGGCCCTTCTCGACCCCTCTCTCCAAATGGACCCACATTGATCCAGGCGTCCTTTGTCCCGAGCCCATAAATTCCTCAAGCCCGTTCCCCACTGAAGCCCCCCGTGTCTCTCTGAGTTATCTGGAGACACCGTGGGTGCGGGAGAGGCTCCATCCAGCACGAGGTCCCCACCAAGGCGGGAGCGGCAGCGGCTCCTCCTGCCCCGGGCAGGGGCTTCTCCCTCCTCTGTGCAGCCACCGCTCACCTGGAAGCGGGGACGGACACTTGACCTGAGGAGATCGCTCTGCCGGCCCCAGGCTGATCAGTGCAGGGGAGGGAATCCAGGGAATCCACCTCAACCTGCCTCCGAGCACCCACCTCAGCCCCAGGATTGGAGCCAGACAGGCAGCGGGGGCTGCTAAGAACAGGTGGGAAGGAAGGAGGTTGTAAAGACCCTGCGATAAAACTTGGAGTCTCACAAGGGACCTCTAGATCCAGTTGCCAGTCTGCTCTCCCAGCCACGCTGGGCTGGTAGGAAAGGAGAGATTGATACGTAGAAAGAGGGATTTGCCTACGGATCCCAGCTCACCTGGAGGGTTTTAGGAACCCTTTGAACAAGCACCTGCCTGGAGAGCCCGTGCAAACACTGGGACAGAGGCGGAGCGGGCGGGTGGTCCCGGCGGCCCCGGCACCGGGATGGACCCGGCCGGC